TTATTTTTTTATAGCATTTTAACTAGCTAGGAGAATAAAAAAATTATTGTCATGTTCACTATTTTCTCACTTAAATTATTTGAGAGTAAATAATTGTCATCTTAATAAATTGGAGTTAATATCTCAAAAGGTCACACAACTATAATAATTTATAGAGAAAATTTATTGAACTTTGTTTTGTATCAATAAATTAAAAAAAACTCTTTATCATAAAATAAAATAAAATAAATATAGCAAAATAAATTAAACTATTTTTATACTCGAGATGTTTTATATATATGCTCTTGTTTTAGATTACTTGTGTAATGTTTAATGGACTTCCGTTAAGAGGCAATATTTGACTTATGAATTGTTCTTAAATTCATACATCAACATTAGCATATTAGTCGGATTATAATATTTTATATTAATAATAAATAGATTAAATAACTCATGTTTTAGAAACAAAAAGTTATATCTAAATAATAAAATTTGTAAGCTAATTTATTTAAATAAATTTATTAGTATAAATATAAAACATAAAATCAAGAAAATGAACAAAATGAATTAAAAAGGATTTGAGGGGGTATTTTTGTCTTTACCTAGATTAGTCCCATGGTATTAGAACTAATACCACCAAATGGAAGGTATTAGTTATACACCTATAATACCATGTAGGGTGTATAACTAATCCATGGATTGATTATACATAGACCCAAAATTCCTACCAAACATAGTACTAAATAATACCACACATAATACTTGGACTATTTCTCCTAATACTCCCTACCAAACGACCCCTTAAGGTTTAGGATGATTCTCCACAAATGAGCTGTGAATGAAATAACTAAAAAGAGTTATAAAACCTAAATTATAAGATATTATGTGGAAAAATTGACAATAAAATCTTGATCAAGAGGAGAATCTTGGAAGGAGATAAAAGGAAAGGGAGTGACAATATAAATTTATGTATACAAGGTATTCCAGTTTCTTCAATTTCACCTTAGTTTTTGTTTTGCGCTCAAAAATTCTTTGAATCTGTCCAAAATTTCTCCCTCGAATTTGGTCAAAGTACCCAAAAACTGTTGACTAGATTAGGTATGGATCCCACACCCACACCCATGTCTATCCACAGGGGTGCGGCGCCAAAAGCGAATAGTCCGAGCAACTTAGTGTGAAACTGTATTACGGTTTTGCTAAACATGACAAATGTAAAAACAATCTTCTCTAAGTTGATGGTTGCTACCCTTCGGGGTGGCCCAGTGGTTTGGGCTTGGGACTTCCATGTTGGAGGTCGCAAGTTCGAAACCCCTTGCCAGCGAAAGCAAGAGGTTTGCCTTCTGGGTCGAGTTCGTCGCACCGGGCTATCCTAGTGTGGGTTACCTCTCCTATGTGGTTTGTGAGCTATTGCATAGGAGCAGGGGTTTTACCCTGTGCGCACCCAAAGGGTAACGGCTGCGGGTTTCCCTTGCCATCAAAAAAAAAAAAAAAAGAGATTAAAGGAAGATAATCTTGTGTTGCAGGCAGTGGCCTTGGTTGTGTTCTGTACCTCTATGTTGGACCATTGTGGCTTCTCATTGCGGAGGCTTTTGACTTGTCAAGAAAATATTTTAGGAAGCCTATGTAGCAAAATCTTTATTATTGTTTGATAGTTATTGTGTCTTAAAACTCTTGTCATTTACTACCTTTGTTCCAACATCTAATACTATTGAAACAGGTTTTATTAAGGATGACAGCCCATATTCGTCCAGCAACCAATCCGGTACATATTATTTTGAATTTTCCATAAAAAGTTGATGGTTGCTACAAAATCTTGTTCAATGGAAGGATCATTGCGTGATGCTATCAACAAGGATAAGTTCCACTTGAGATCTGTATCTTTTGAAGTTAGACAAACAATCCCACTCATTGGAATTGAGCTTCTGCATCATTTTCTTTAATTTTTATTTATGTTGATTATTTAATTAGGATTGGTTTAAATGGAGCGACATGGTTTGTTCAGACTCATATAGCCGACCCAACTTGCTTGGAGTTAAAGTGTAGCCATAGTTCTTTTTAGTTAAAAATAGAATAGCTACCCTTGTCTTTAGTTAGGAATAGGGTTTTATTCATTAGTTACAGATAAGGTTTTACATAATAATATATATCCTTACTTAGAGAGAAGAGTTCTAGTAGTTTTAGACTTTTAGGAGTTTAATCAGGTTATCATAAACTTTGTTTGGAAGATTTTATGAGTAGTACCTGATGAACAATCTCTCCCTCTTCTTCTCTTATTCTTTGCTTCTCATCTTAACTTCAATCACCCCTTTCTTATTTTTGTTGCTACATCAAGTTTAGCATACAAAAGCGATTTCCTAGCGTCATAATGTTGGAGTAAGATTCAGTTCCACTATAATCCTTTCTGCATAAGTTGGGATGGAAATTGATCAGGTTCCTTAGGTTTGAGATGACCAAAAATTGGTTGTGCCTTTACCTGACAATTCTGACTTTTGGCATTGTTTCTATCTGTCTAAAATATACTGACTCGATCTTCTCTTTTGGTCCCTAGCTGTTCTGAAATGTTATATTTTTTATATGCAGGGAGTGGATAAAATATGCATTGCCTTCGTTGTTGGTTGTGCTTGCAGTTATCATGTTTTGGCGTAGGAATGTGAGGAAAGGGAAGCCATTAGAACCACTAAAAGTCATAGCTCCTCCTCCAAAAAATGCTGTTGAGCAGCTCTTGATATTGCAGGAAGCTATTAGTCAACTTGAGGCATTAATCCAAAGTGGCAACATTATTCTGCTGAAAGTACGAGCTCTCATTTTTGCTGTTCTTCCACAGGTATTATCATCTGTTTTCCTCATCCTAAACTGCTATTACCCAATCCAATATTTGGGTTTGATATTTCCATTTCTTTATTCTTAGCATAGCTGCAACTTGAAACTCAATACATGGGAGGGGATTACAATTTAATTGTTCGAGAGGTTTAATGCATATATAAAGTGATTGTGAAAGCCAAGGAATAATTGGACCTCAAAGAAGCTCTAGACATTTGATACAAAGTTGTTTACTTGCCATTGATAATGTTGAAGAGTCGATATACATCGGTGTATTGTACTTCATGGTTTGCAATATTTAATGCATACATAGAAGTGATGGAAAACCTAGTTGATGCATTTCATTTATAAATACTAGTTTAGGAGATTTCCAGGTGTCTTTTTGAAGTGGCGGATCGATAACAACCACGATTTGAGTCATCACTCATGGTCGTAATTTTCATGATATGGATGATTTCCCTTTGTCCACAACCTAGATATCCTATTGTGACGAAAGGAAGTAGTAACTCGAGTTGTCATTTGTTTCCCATCAGAAACTTTAGGAAACATTTGTTTCCCTACACCATAATGGTGTATTTACAGGCAATCAGTTAAAGTGGAAGTCTAACTAATGGCTAATGACTTACTAGCACCCCTTACTTGTAGATCGGACACAATTTACTCCCAACCTACAAATAGCTGGACTTGAAGAAGTTCTACAGATTGAATATGGGTCCTTTTTTTTTACTGTAATAATTGCAATGATGGTCTTGACAACTTGAAGGTTCTAATTCCCTTGGTTAAACCAACTTAAGAGTTTAGAAGTTATCTAGATATTTACAAGTTCTCCCTAAGCTGAATTATTGAACTCGCTACTTAAGGAATGTGTAAAGATACTCATTAAGTTACAACTTTCTAGTTACACTTGGCTCGAAGTATTCACTCTTGGTTTTATTTTCTTCATCTTTAGGCAACTGACAGGACAGCTCTTTTACTGGTGACTGTGGCCTTGTCTTTTGCTTTTGTGCCACTCAAATATTTGATTCTTTTTGCGTTCTTGGAGTCTTTCACAAGCAATATGCCTCTGAGGAAAATTAGCAGTGAAAGAGATCTTCGACGGGTTAGAGAGTGGTGGATCAGGATACCAGCAGCCCCCGTGCAACTTATCAAACCTGACGACAAAAAAGACAAGAGTAAAAAACCTATATTCAAAAAGGAGAAGAAGCATGAAGAGTAGGAGTTAATGTAAATACTGGTCCTTTATTGGCATATGTCAATGAAGATAGATGGCACAAAGTCAATGAAAACCAATTTGACTTGGTAAAAGAATCATTGGTTTCTATTATTGTGTTATGTAATTACATTAGTGATTGTATAATATTCTTGAATGTTAATGAAAAAACTAAGTGGACAGAGTTGGAGTTTTTATCAACGACAACTCTAGTCTGACAAAGAACCCAACCTTGACTTTCAATTCAAGACCCGACTTTTGATTGGGGACCCAACTCTGACACCCAATTGGGATTTGATTTTTGAACTGGGATCTGACCCCAATACTCGACTTTGATGAACGATTTAGGAACTTAGCATGACACCTGACCTAGGACCCGAAACTCGACTTAGACACCCAATTCGGAACCCCATCCCGACACCTGACTTAGAACCTAACCCGAACACCCAATATAGGATCCGACCTCATATTCTGATCGGGACCCAATTATAGCACTCAAATATCCTCTTTAAAACCAATTAAAAGGGACAACAATCATAGTCAATAAAATACCCAACTAAGAGTTGGGTTGAATTCCACAGAGAATGGTATATCCCACATAATTCTATGAAGAAATTTGGATTGTAAACTCATTTATTTGTAATAATAAAAGAAAATGAGTGGATGATTCCACCTATTTAATAAAAAGATTTGGTTATCATCACAATTAAACTGAGATTTTGGAGAATTCAAGAGTTAACAAGCAATCTAGGGGTGTGGGGATTGGAAATCAATGACACAGGGGGAATTGCGTTGTTCTATAGTAATGAACATTCATGAATAGTCTAGGTCATCTTTAATGACGCTCATCTTCTTTCAATCTCATAGCATCTTTGCATAAAATCTCCTTTCGGCTTCATCTAAATATAATATACTAAACAATTCATTACCTTACTGTACTCTCTTTTTCGATGATGAAGTAGGGATAATAGACCTGATCCATAACCTCTATTTTCAAGCAAGTTATAGACATCAAACCTAATTTGAGAGTAGCACACTAATTACCCACTCCAATCAATCTCTTTCGAGCATCTACTGGAGATTGGAGGTAGGAATTAAGTTTCCAACCTTAACCTATAAGTTAACCCCATGCTAATTAGCCCAAATTCAGGGATGAACAACATCATAAGAGAGCAAAACACAATACCCACAACATTAAATCAACATCAAACCCTATAATTGCACCCCTAGATTTTGGGGTTTTAGCCACCCATCACAAAAGGCAAAGAAAATATACCTTTCATGAAATCACTCATGGGTAACATGAAATTAAGCAATTACAAGAAAAACCACTTTGCAAGCAGTTAGCCTTCCTTTACAATGAATGGAAGTGTGGATGAATCGACATCAAATATAGGATTGTTGTTGTACACGATCTCCATTTTAGTAGTCCTAGCTATCCACTCCATTATGTGGTAGAGTGTTTTTCCCAACCCCTTTGCAGGGGTACCTTCCCTTTTAATGGAGAGAAGGACTCGGAATTGACGCCCCTCGATTCGAGATGCGTTGGAATAAGTATTCAACTGCTTGTGAACCTTCGGGTATTGTTTTATTCAATGTTTGTTCAATTACTCTTTTACCTTCAAATGCAATGTAGGCATTGGGTTCGACAATAATGATATCCCCAACATACCAAAACTAGTTGTCACTCCACACGAAATCATAAATAAGCTCTACCAAGGATTGCCAAGCATTTGGTACTGAGTTTCCTCCTCCCTTTTTAGTAACAAAATAAACCAAAAGTAGGACCAAACTGAGAGTTAGCAGCATAAACAAAGATAGTTTGAATGAGAAATATAAGTTTCCTATTTTCATAGTGCCGGTTCTGTTGAGTAATATATCTGGAAATGCCTCTTGATAGCTTATCAACACTGTTCAGATACAACTAGTACATTCCAAAATCACCGTTACTCATACATGCCTGGCGGCAACTTGGATCTTCTGTTCTTTAGATGCCCAGCTTATCCGCCAATTGTCTAGCTGTAAAAGGAAGAGGTTAGTTCACAACTATAAAAGCCGAAGATGAAGCGAGGAAGGCAGCGACATAGCAGCAGATAAGGAAGAAATTTAACTTAATTGACCTACCAGAATCTAAAGAAAGGGTACCACTTATTTGGAAACTCGAAACTTGTCGCGGAGGGGCTATTTTTGTCCAGCTCCCTAACCTAAAGTAGCACCGAGTTTGGACCACAGGGAACTGTAGCATGGGGGGACGTCTAATCCTTTTGCCGCCACAAGGATGGCTAATCGTACGCAGCAGGCTCAAATACCCCAGGTTTTGGAAGGCACATGAGTCCGTCAATTTGTCAATTTCAAGAGCAAAATTGAAAAACCCAAAAACTAGAAAGTGTTCTTCACAAGGCAAAGTGTTTCTCTCCAACTCTAAACTCACCAAAGGTAGAAACTAAAAATTGTTCCACCACTTTTTCTCTCTCCTTTGGAATATTTATAGTTTCCCAAAATTTGGCTCAAAACTCAATACGCGGCCTTAGGGCGACTTTAGTCGGGCTCGACGAACTCTTTCGGCGAGTCGCCATTCATGCTTCAGCTTGCCTTCTCTTGCTCTATGCATCAGGTGTTTGAACCTCCGTCGGCGAACTCGTTTGAATCTGCCTTTCACATTCGGCGAATCACTGAGTACCACCTTAGTTTGCCTTTCGAGCCTTCAATTTTTCTCCTTGCATTGTCACTTTGGGTAATGGTCAACAAGGTCGCCTTTCTCATTCGGTGAATAGCCCTTTCTTTTAGAGTTTGCTGATCTTTATTGATAAACACAAGTGGTGTGCACTATCACTTTGGGCAAGGTCATGCTCACTTGGCGATCCTATTTTCTTGCTCGACGATTATCAATGTAATTTTTGCACTTCCTTTCACAATTTTGACCATTCTTTCAAACATTCATCCTTGCCTTGTTCATTAACCTTCATAGCTGCAAATCATTAAAATATTATTAGAACAAGACAAAATTAGGCTTTGAGGACACTAATTATTGAGCTAAATAGGCCTCAAATGAGTGCAAATCTACCACTCATCAACACTCCCAACTTAAATTTTTGCTTGTCCTCAAGTATTTCAAGAAAACAATTAGCTCAGTAAGGGTGTTTATAAAGTCTTTAATGAGAGCTAACATGCAAGTGAAATTACAAGACTACTCTCAATAACATTCTACACTCAATTATGATAAAAAATCTTCAAATGATGACTAGCCAATTTCAACACAAGCTCAACCTCACTTTAACTTCTTCTCTAATGCAAGACCATGTTTAAATAAATGCATTGAAGTGACCTCACATCAATAATGATTCCATGCTCTCACAAAGCAGATCAACAAAGAAGTAAGGAATCAATGCAACTCTCGATCTCTTAAAAGAGAAATGCATGCAAGCTTCATCCCATAGGTTTTTCCATGTTTTCCAATCATCACACAACCTAGTTTATGCACGATCTCTATGGTATTTTAGGCTTGTAATGGGGTTGAGGGTTAAGGTATGGTCAATTTTGGCTCAGTAAATTCACCTTTTCAAAGCATTATTGTAATCATCTTCACCTCTTCTCAAGTTCTTTTCATTCTTTTACATTTGAGAACTCAAACTTTAATTTTCACTCATATTTATTTGGAATCCCCTTTATTTCATCACTTCTCTTTTTTATTTCCACTTTTCAAAATGTTTCATCACAATGACTTTTTTTATAAGGAGGGGTTCCTTCTTTGTGTAACAATCTTTAAAGTTGAGTTCCAATTCATCTTTCTTTGACTTAACTTGGATTTCTTCCTCCTTCCATTTCACAAGCCTAAGTTGGATATGCAAACATAACAGTGCTTCAAAAAGGATTTTGGGTGAGAAGGTATGGACAATTTAGCTCAAATAGTTTTAGTTTGGTTTTGTCAACAAATGGTTTAGGCTTAAGTGGTGCCAAAATGATGCACACCCTCACAAGGTAGTCACAAAGGATAGTGAAAATTTGGGTTCCCTCTTAGAATTTTCGCCAAAGATCAAGCCTTACATTTACCAAGGTTTAGACAATTAGACTAACAAGGCAAAGTTCAGAATTCCACACACATGCTTTCAATTAAGACCTCACCACACATGGCACTTCGAAATACACTTATTTAGCACATCCCAAAAAGATTAAAAAGCATATGTGCGATGTTAATTGCAAGGCTCACATCAAAACGTAGCTTGTCAACAAAAGATTCAAAAAGATTGGTCAAAAACGCAACCATATCGATTTCATTCTCGCAACACCAACACTATACACCATGCTCATCATGAGTACTATTCAAGACATCGATATTGAACATAATCGATCTTCAAATTATTATCAATGAAAACTCAAGCATTTAACGATTTTCAAAACTCATGACAGAGTTGCAAAATTGAAAGAAAATGAAAGAGGCAACAAGAGATACACTAAACCAAATCTGAAGCTTTAATATAAACAAAAGCAAACTACGAAAAACATCCAAAACTAAAAAATAACAAAATACAAAGTAAAAGGGAAATATTGGCTCGAAGGCCCTTACCCCACTAAAATGAAATGTGCAGTGTCCTTAATGCAAAAATAATAAAGTACGGGAGGTTGAGTAAAAAGGCCCCCCTGATAGGCTAAGCCTGTGTGTCACGACCCAGGGGTACACCCTAGATGTAACATAGTGTAATAGAAAAGATGTGGAAGTTTTAAAACTTTTTCCATACAATCGAAGTCTTTATAAAAGCAAGTGGAAGTCTATAACTCTTTGTGCCAAACCATCTAAAACAACATAGAATAAACTTTGGGACGCAGCCCATACAATAGTCTCAAACATAAAGGAAATGTGATCAATCCTCATTGCTATGAGGACTCACCAAATCTTCAACTCCTTTGCACTTCTAGAATCCTATCCTCAAAATGGAACTCAAAGATCGTCGGACCCTACATTTGTTAAGAATGTAGGCAAGAGTATGCATTAGTACAAAATGTACTAAATATGTTAGCTAGCACAACATCATAAGAGCATAACAAAAGTGTTAGCCAACATAAGACATAAGTCATAAGCATCAGAGACGATAACAGAATCATAAGCATAATCTCCAACATAGGCATAATATGAGCATAAGTCAACATAAGGCATAATCCAATAACATAGGAAATACCACATATTCATAACATGGTCACTACTTAGACCTTCATATCATAAGAGAAACTTCTAAGTAACCTTCAAG